GCCATAGGTCACAGCTCTGGTGGTTCAAAAACACCAGAGGATCCAGGGAGAAAGAAGCGCAGTCCCCGCCTGCACAATTTATAGTCTTAAAACCTCACGGAGGGTCCGTTATGACTCCGTGTCAACCGCACAGCAAGGAGTCAGTTAATATAAATTATTCCAGTCATCAAAATGTATACATATTTGTTCTTCCGTATGTGTATAGACAGATGGTGATGTCATCAAGTGCTCAGCTATTATCTAAAAGGTCAGTTGTTCAAACACAGCCAGAGCTTCTTCGGAAAGAAGACCTGGTGACCTGCTTGCGTAAAGGTTGGCAGCCTTGGAAACCTCCTGGGAGGCTGACTCTGTCTGATAAGGTTGCTGTGCATTGGAATGGATTCAACGCACTCAACCAGACATAAACACATCTCTGATTTCTCCACCTCAGGCCAGGGCAATTGCTCGCCTTCTCCTGCAGTCTCTCGCCTTCCCGTCCTGTCTGCCGTCCCGAGTTCTGTGGTTCCACGGAATGAGACTGTGAAGCTCCTGTGCAGGGGGACTCCCGAGTCCTACCTGTACCACCTGGAGGTCCTGAGACGCTCGGACTACGAGCTGGTCGAGAGAAGACTGGGCTTTAATCACGTGGTGGAGTTCAGCATGCACCCCGTGGAGGCGGACGCCGCAGGGCGTTATTCCTGCCGGTATAGGAAATCCGACGGCTGGTCGCAGCACAGTGAGCCCCTGGACTTGGTGGTGACAGGTAAGGTGGCCCCCGGCACTGCACGCACTCGGGTTAGCGCACCTCCAAGCGCTCTCCTTGGGTGACTTCCACCTCTGGCAGGACTCCTCCACAGGTGAGGCCCCCCCCAGATGAAATGTGAACCCACCCCTCCGCTGGGGCTGTGATTGGGTGTCATCATGGGCATCTGACGGGTCTGGTACCTGCCTGCTCTGGGTACATCCTCCTCGCTTGGCCGCCTGCCTGGACAGTGAGCCAACTCTCCCCAACCTGGACTGCCTACACACAACCCCTGGACTGGCAAAGACCACATCATTGGACGGGAGGTGGACTGAGGCCGCCAGAAACTTCATCCCAGCCTCGATGCTCCACCGCTTGACCCCCCTTCTGCTGTCAGAGGGGTTGTGTATATATTGACCTCTCTCTAGTGCCACGTCCACCTCTTGGATGAGCAGAATCTGCTTGCTGGGCACCCCATCCTCAACCTTCTGCTGGACTAGTAGACACAGGACTCCAGAATGGACTTCTTATCTCCACCACAGCAGTGGAGCGGGCATCAGGCGCCACATGCACCCCGAGGTGCCTCCTGTCCTTCCCTCCTTCCTGCTCTCTCTTGTTTTATCTTTTCTTGTTCTTTCTCCATCCCTTCCTGGACATTTCATTCTCTCGTGTTTTCCATTTTACGTTCCCTTTAAAAGTTCTCCTTTCCCTTGCCTGTTTCCTCTATGGCTGCCAAGTTGATGTCAACACACTCGACCTCTTGTGGCTCACAGTACACCCCATACCCCGGACTCCACTCCACCTGCACTCCAGAGAGTTCTCAGAACCATGACACTACAGAGGAGAGGGGTCTTTCTTCTGGGATTCCACTGGATAGGTTCAAACCACCAACCTTTCTGGTGATAGCCCCATACAAAACTTTCATGTCACCTGGACACCAGGTTCCCAGGTCGTATTTTCTGACACTTTTTTTTAAGACTAACTTGTTCTTGTTGTTGTTGTTGATTGCCATCAAGTTGAACACGACTCATAGCAACTCTAGGAACAAAAGACCTAATACCTTTCTATAACGATCATTGTTTGTCCAAGTTCATAGAGTTTCCATTGGCATATGGTTTAGGAAGTGGTTGCCACTCCTGCTTCCAAACCTGTTATAGTTAATTATTTAAGGGAGTACATACTCACATTGTTGCTGTTGTTGTTGTTTTTTCCATCGAGTCGCCTGCAACACATAGCAACCTTATGTACAACAGCCCTAAGCCCTGCTCTATCCCTTGCCAATCTTCCTATCTCAAACACGCCTATCCCCGTTACCCCAGTCGCTGAATCAATCCATCTCATTGAGGGTCTTCCTCTCCTGTGCTGTCCCTCCACCCTCCCAAGGATGATGTCCCTCTCCAAGGACTGGTCCCTCCTTACATGTCCAAAGTATGTCAGACGAAGCTTCAGAATCCTTGCCTCCAAGGAGCAGCCTGGTTTAACCCTCTCAAGGATGAATGTGTTTGTTCTTCTAGCAGTCCACAGTATATTCAAAACTCTTCTCCAGCACCACAGCTCAAAGGCATCATCAAGTCTTCTATCATTTACAAAATTCTAAAATATTCGAGAACAGATGTTCTTTTTACCCAATGTCTTCTCCTTCAGCCCCTGACACTGCTCACCAAGCTTGTGCACCAGTTTCTTTTTCTTTTTATTCACATTTCACAAATTTGTCTTTGGGAAACCCCAGTTCTGGGCACAGGTAAGGTCAGCATCTTCCTTTCTCTTATTACGTGTCCGGCATCGGAGTCAGGGATGCTGGAGAAAGAAAATTCTCACAGACAGCTTCCTTTCTTCTCTTCTAGGCTTTTATGAGAAACCCACCCTCTCCACGGATCAGAGCCTTGGGACAGTGGTGGGAGATAACATTTCCTTCTACTGTGGTTCGGCTAGCGTCCCATTTGACAGCTTTTCACTGACAAAAGACGGGAACCCGGACCCGCCACAGCATCAGAACGGGAGACATTCAGGCCACTTCACACTGGGTCCTGTGACCAGCAGCTTCTCAGGGAATTACAGTTGTTACGGCTGGTACAAGGCCAGCCCCTACCTGTGGTCATCGCCCAGTGACACCCTGCAGCTTCTTTTCCCAGGTCGGTTCTGTAAGATATTAAAAAAGAACATGAGGGCGCGAGGGAGAGAAATAAAGAAAGGAATTGGTCCCAAGAAACGAACAGGCCTTTATTGTGCCGTCGGAGAGGGACGCCAAGTGACCCGGCCGCGTGGCATGTGGACAGGATCCAAATGGCCCGTGGGCAGTTTGGGGGTGTTTCCTTTTTATAGGGGTCCTGGGAAGAACTAAGATGATACTTCTCGGAATTTGATGTGTTAATTTAGTTAGGTTTTATCTTTTTTAATCAAGCTCAGATTCTTATCAGGATCCATTGTCTGAGCTGGTCTTTGATATGACCAGCTGAGATGTTATCAAGTTTGTCAGAAAGTGATCAAGCTTGGGGGCGGGGTGGGGGGGCAACTGCCATATTCTTCCTTCAATATCAGGGTCCAGCCTCAATATATCTAAACGGTTCCACAAGAGGAGGAACAAGGATTGAATGAAGGTTCAGAGAGTCTTCCTGTTGATGACAAATAATAAAAAACTTTTAGTTTTCAAAAGCATATATAGGGTTTTAGAAGCACCTCTGCAGTAGCCATTGCATTATCTCTTTCCGTCCAGGATGTTGACTCTCAGGTCAAACATTAACTCTCACAGACCTCAGCACAATACAAAGATGGTTTACAGCACGTCTTACTGAGAGCACTAAGAAACAAAGAGTTTCAGTAGATAACATTCCCTAAGGTCTGAGAGCTTTGGTCACTCTTATTCATTCACATCCTGCTTCCTTGAGTTGTATATTGCCAAGCAGATTTTCTAGCCAAGATGGAGTTGGTCTTGCTGGTTTCACAGTACAGGGCTAATCTCGCTTTGCAAGTAAGTCAAGATTCTGATACCTCAAATTTAATGAGACTGTCGCTAAGAACGTGGTCCTCTTTCCGTGCCTAACGAAGCCGCAGCTCGTGGTCCCAAGAAGCATCTGAAGCGTGTAGCAACTCCAACGCACTGGATGCTGGACAGACTTACTGGTGTATTTGCTCCTCGTCCATCTACTGGTCCTCACAAACTGAGAGAATGTCTGCCATTGGTCATTTTCTTACGAAACAGGCTTAAGTATGCCCTGACAGGAGATGAGGTTAGAAAAATCTGCATGCAGCGGTTTATTAAGATCTAAGGCAAGCTCCGAACTGATACAACCTCCCCTGCTGGTTTTGTGGGTGCGGTCAGCATTGGCAAGACTGGAGAGAATTCCAGACTGATCAGAGGTTGATTTGCTGTTCACCACATTACACCTGAGGAAGCAAAGTACAAGTTTTGCAAAGTAAGAAAGATCTGTGTGGGCACAAAAGGTGACCCATGATGCTCGAACTATCCGCTACCCTGATCCTCTCATCAAGGCGAATGACACTGTTCAGATTGATCTGGAGACTGGAGACATGACTGATTTCATCAAGTTTGATATTGGTAACCTGTACATGGTGACTGGAGGTGCTAACCTGGGAAGAATTGGTGTGATCACCAACAGAGAGAGACATCCTGGGTCTTTTGATGTGGTTCATGTGAAAGATGCCAATGGCAATAGCTTTGGCACTCGGCTTTCCAACATGCTTGTTATTGGCAAAGGCAATAAGCCATGGATTTCTCTTCCCTGAGGAAAGGGTATCCGCCTTTCCATTGCTGAAGAAAGAGACAAGAGATTGGCTGCAAAACAGAGCAGTGGGTGAAATGATCTCTGGGTGGTATGAATAAAAAGGACAAAATTAAAGATACTACAGCATGGGGGAAAAAAAGAACACTATTCTTTCTTAGTTCTGTTTGCCTGCCCTTTGAAGCGCTCTGAATCTCTGGATCCTAGATTAGCAATGAGAATTATGGTGGATCATAGATTGGCAATGCAAATGCAATGAGTTGCCTTCTGGTCAGAAGTGACCCACAGCTGACGCTCCTGTTAGTTTTCAGAGGCTGTAAATCATGTGGGAGGTCATTGCCCGTTCTTCTGCCACAAAGCAGCTGGTGAATTCGATCCACCTGCCTTTGCCTTGGCAACACAATTTCTTACCCACTAGGCTGCCAGAGTTCTCCTGGATTAACAATTAAGCAGTTTGGTGGTGGTGTGTGCTGAAGAGTCAGAACTGACCCATACCTGACCCTCCAGCAGGTTTTCAGAGGAGAGGAGATTGCTCATTTTTCTCCCATAGAGCAGCTGGTGGATTCGAACCACCGGCATTCGGGACTGCAGCACAGCTTCTTGTCCCTAGGCCACCAGAGCTCCCTAATAAACAGTAAGCACTATTTTTCTTTTCTTAAGCCAATAGTAGAAAATGATCAGTTTATTGAATATAAACCTCCAATGAGAAGAAGAACTATCAAACATCTTATACAGAACCTTGTTGGCATTGCTGCAGAATGAAAGATTGGGAACTGACCTAAAAGACCAATTTGTCAACAGAAAGCTTCTCGTACAGCGTGGGTTTAACAACTCAGTGAACTTATCCTAAAAAAGGCTCTTAGTCTGACCTTCAGGTTTGTTTGCTGAAATTGACTGAATTCTTCAGAAGGGTCGAACATACAAAGGAAAGTGGTCTCCCTGGGCCATTGTTTGACTCAAAGGAGAATTTGGGGAGGCCGTTTTCTCCAGGCTCAGGGTTCGAAAGGGCGTGTTAAGGGCAAGGGTTAGTATGTGTGACATGTTACAAGTCCTTGGAGAGGGACATCATACTTGGGAGGGTGGAGGGACAGCACATGAGAGTAAGACCCTCTATGAGGTGGATTGATTCAGTGACTGGGGTAATGGGGGTGGGTGTGTCAGAGACAGTGAGATTGGCATAGGATAGAGCAGGGTTTAAGGATGTTGTACACAGGGTCGCTATGAGTCGCAGGCAACTAGAAGGCACATAACAACAACAACAAGGAACTTGGGGAGGGAGATGCTCACGGATTTTTTTTTATTTTTTAAGATAGGGAAGAGGGCTAGAATCTCAGATAACTATTTTTCTGGAAAAGAAAGGTAGAGGAGTTTCACATCCTTGACAGAGAAACAGTCACGGCTTCTGCTTCCTGTGGTTGGGTCATTTCAGTAGCCATTCTGCGAGAGGAAAGAAAGAGGTCTGCAGCAATAATAGTTCACCTACCTCTTTCCCAACCTCCTTCTATTGAAGGGCTCATGAGTGGGACAATTCCTCGGTCACTGACTTATTATATAGTCTCTGGTCTCACAACAAGGATTTTTACAAGCCTCTTTCATTTAGCTGTGTGTGTGTGAGAGAGAGAGAGAGTGTGTGTGTGGAGAGAGAGAGGGAGAGAGAAATTCTATATTCTATATTTGGACAGGAAAACCTTACCGAGATTTCTGACCATTAGCATTTCACCATGTCGTATCGCACCCCCCAATCCCCTCATCGGTTGTTTATAACGCGCTGGCTTCTGCTGGCTTCTGTCTTGCTACGATCCCAGGAGCTCCACCATCAGAATTTCAAATCTGTCACCTGTGGTGAACGACTCTCAGTGGTGAGTTCAAATCATTTTTCTCACTGCTTCCTGGAACGGCATCGGGAGGTTGAGTCACCCTTATAAGTACAGCTGGGGTCACTTGTCTCTAACTTGGGTGAGTCAACTCGGCCCAGACTGAGACGGAGCAGGAAGTGTACCGTCTAGTGGTCCCCCTCTGAAAATTAGGCCCCCAAAACATCATAGCCCATCCTCGTCTGACAGAAGATTGAAGAATGAGGACGTGGACCAGGAGGCACTTCAAACCCACTGTTAGAAAAAAGAATGGAGAGACAGAAACGGGTCCCAAGAAGGTGTGAGAGGGACACCGCTCACAGAAGGACCAGGGTGATGCAGAGGCAAAGACAGCTTCCTTTTAAAGATGCTTTGAGTTCTGGAGGCCTGGTGGCAAGAAGCTTCGCTGCAATTCTGAAGGCACACAGTTCGAGGTCACCAGCTGTTCTGCGGGAGAAGGATGGGCAATCTCCTCCTGTGTGATTTACCACCTCTGAAAATCCCCTGGAGTGTCAGCTAGGGGTCGGTTCTGACTCAACGGTACACAACAATATCCTTGAGCGAAACATGGGCTCATGTAATCCAGGTAGCAAATGAAGTTGGAGAAATGTTGAAGCAATAGCTTGCAAAACATGACTCAACAGAGGAAATAAATTTCATCGAAGGGGGTTTTTTTAAACATTGTTTTATTGTGGGGTGTGTAATTTTACCTAAGTTTATCTTACTTTTTGCCCTCCCTACATCTCAGGTACCAACCACTGTCGATATCCATTATCATGGACGAGAGAACACAAACTGTTGTAGGAAGTGATGGAGGAATACAGGAAAGAATTGACGGTAGTGGATGAGTGGAGATGTATCAGGGTCATAACCAGGCATTCAGTAAAATCACCTAAGAAGAAAGCGAGAGGCAACCTCTCTAAGCCATCTTCTTCCACAGAAGCCTCAGCTCTTCACCCAGAGACCCAGGTCCTTACCAAGAACTGTGGTCTCCAAGAGCACATGAGTTCATTGAAAAGGAGTCAGAACAAGACCATATTTAAGAAAGTAAATATTATAACAACTCTGAGATATCATCTCACCCCAGGAAGAATAGCAAAATTTAACAGAGCAGCAAACATCAAATGCTGGCGAGGTTGCGAAGAAACTGGAACCCTTCTTCACTGTTGGTGGAAGTGTAAAATGGTGCAACCACTATGGAAGGCAGCATGGTACTTTTTCAAAAAGTTGCAAATAGAAATACCATTTTTTAAAAAATTGTATTATTTTTACGTGTACCGTAAAATCAGATCTGACTGGTACAGGAGGAGATTGCCTCCTCCTTCTCCAGCAGAGCATCTGGTGGATTTGAACTGCATACCTCTGGAATTGCAGTGCAGCATCTTGCCACTAGGCCACCAGAACTCCCTTAGAAATAATACCATTTGACCCAGCAATTCCACTACTGGGCATATACTCTAAAGAAAGCATAACTGTCACCCAAGCAGATATATGCACACCCATGTTTACCGCGGCTTTGTTCACAATAGCAAAGAGTTGGAAACAACCCAAGTGCCCATCAACAAATGAATGGATAGAGAAGCTCTGGTATATTCACACAATGGAATACTACAATGGAAAACAAAGGAACTCATGAAATATTATACAAATTGGGTGACCCTAGAGAACATTATGCTGAGTGAAATATCTCAGTCACTAAAGGACAAATATTGCATAGGGCCACTGTTGTCAAACAGGACTGACATCAGGGTTGAGGGGAGACTGAGAAAGCAAGGATAAATTATGCATACTGCATTGAAAGAGATGAGGGAGAGAACTGCTTAAAAGAGATATGTGAGTAATTATTACTGTTATGACAAGAGTCCAAAATGAAGGCTGCATAATGGAGTAGACTTGGGGGTAGTGATTGTATAACAGTGAAAGAATTTTTCTTTTACTTTTCAAAGGGAAGAGTGAACTGGAGGGGAGGGGTGGGCAGGGGGGAAAGTACAACAATGAATGAAGGAAATCCAAAGTCTCTGTAAACTTTTATTAAAATTAATTTTTTTTAAAAGAGAAAGTACATGAGGGGAATGAGCCCCCCACCCAGAGGTGTGGGGTGGCATGTGGTGGGGCACAACCAATAACCAGTCTTCTCTTGGATTTCTGTCTCTAGACCCTACGCACAAGGATCACACGACGGAGAACTCAATCCGGATGAGCGTGGCGGCGTTGGTGTTTGTGATTCTCTTGGTGATAATGGTGGACTTCTGGCACAGCCAGACGGTGCTTCACAAGACAGACAGACAAGACGTGGCTGAGGCAAGCTGGAGTGAATAGGAGTGCCCCACAGAATGGACCTCTGAACCGGGCGCTGGTGACCATCACCACCGTCAGACTCCCTGATGTGAAGGCAGAGATGAGTCAAAAGGCGTGGAGTCCCACAAAGCCACTGGAGGACATGGGGAGAGAGCGGCTTTGTTCACAATAGCAAAGAACTGGAAACAACCCAAGTGCCCAGCAACAAACGCATGGATAGAGAAGTTGTGGTGTATTCACACAATGGAATACTACGCTGCATTGAAAAACAAGGAACTCAAGAAATATTCTGCAAAACGGGTGACCCTGGAGGACATTATGTTGAGTGAAATATCTCAGTCACCTCCAGATCCATCCAGTGGTGTTGTGTTACGTGGATCTGATATTCTTGCCTTTCTCCCTTTCTGAACAATGGTTTTCCATCTTTATTCTGATTTCTCACACTCTTTTTATCGTCTCACATTTTTTTCAAAGTATTTCCACTATTTATAAATAATTGTAAATACTCCCTAAATAGTAAATCTCCCCCATCTGTCCTTAAGCTACCTGATTTGTTAATTTATCAATGGACCAAAATAAATATCCTCTGTCTATGGGATTTCTTCCATCTTTTCTCTCTCTCTCTCTCTCTCTATATATATATATATTTCATTTAGATACTATTATATGTTTCATCCACTAATTTATTGTTTCTATTCAATTATCTGAATAATTGGAAATACATACTCGTTTACTATTCTAGGCTTAATATCTTCTACTAGGCCACTGGGTGTGGGGAGGTTCCGACATAATCCAGCTTCGTGATGTCACTGAGCATTTTATCTTCAGGCTCACGTTTATCATTCAATTCTCCAGGTTGTCGATACTCTACTTGTCACGGAGGCAGATCAATGCGCCTTTCCCTAGAGAGAGACCCGTGGGGGCCACTGCCAAGCTTTCAGTTAGCAGCCAAGCATTTTAACCACCGCACCACCAGGATTCCTAAACGGACTATTGTTGTTAGGTGCTATCAAGTCGAGTTCAACCCACAGCGACCCTGTGAACAGCAGATCTGAACTGTAACCTGTCCTGTGCCTTCCTCATGACATCTGACATAACGGAGCCCATTGCTGCGGTCACTGTATCCGTCCATCTGGTGGACGGCCCTCTCCGAGGAACAGCCTCTCCTAACAACACGTCCAAGGTAGGACAGATGAAGTTTTGATATCCTTGCCTCCGCGGAGAACTCTGGCTGCATTTTCTCTTAAGACGTAGCTGTTCTTTTTGGCAGTTCCTGGGATCGTCAGTGGGCTTCTCTAATAACACAGCTTGAAAGCATCAATTCTTCTGTCACCCTTATTAATTGTCCCACTCTCAGATGCATAGCAAGTGACTGAAACGATAACAGACATTCCATATGTTCCAGTTTTTCCACTACCTGGCATATACCCTGAGAATATGAGAACTGAGGCACAAACTGAGATTTTTCCACCAGTGTTCATAGTAGCATTATTCACCATCGCAAGAACATGGAAACAGACCACATATCCAACCACAAATGAATGGATTGAGAAATTATGGTACATTCACACAATGGAATACTACGCAGCACGCAGGAGCAATAACTTTGTAAATTATGACCTAACTTGGGAGGGACTGGAGAGCATTATGCTGAGTGATCTAACTCAGTCCCACAAGGATAAATACTGTATAAAACTGTTACTGTAAAATGAGGATAAGGATCCAGGAGGGGTGGGAGAGGCTGGAAGCAGAGGGATGTGGATGGGGTTTCATTGGCTTGTACAATTTGATGGATGGGGTGGTGAGGGAAATTGAAAGAATTTGTTTGAATTTGTATTAGAATTTTGTAAATAAACTAGTTGTTGTTGTGTTGTTAAGTGTCATCGAGTTTGTAGGAGACCCTGTGAATGAAACATTTGGGTGACTTTCATCCTCTCTCCAGGTTCATAGAATTTCCAGAGGCAAACTATTAACAGAAGTGGATGCCACTCCTGCTTCCAAGCTTGTTTTAATCGGGGAGCTCCACCAAACACTGTCCACCATGGGTAACCATTATCACATTTGACACATCATTGTCACAGTGTTCAGCTTCACAGCAACCACGAGTTACCTCTGTATGGCAAGTGGACACACCAGGGCTATACTAGTAAAAAAAAAAATATCATGGCCTGAATCAGACACACCTTAGTCCTCACACTGACATCATTTCTCCTCAGTAATTTGGAAAGGTCCCTGACTGCAGACTTTCTCAATGGCAACACATCTTCTGCTGCTACAAAGCATGTTGATGGTGGGTCTCAGGAAGATGAAGTTGTTAACAATATCAATCCTTTCTCCCTCTCTCATGATGTTGCCTATCTTGATGTTGAGATATAATCCCACGTTGAAGGCTATCATCTTCAATCTTCTGCAATAAGCACTTCAATTCTCACTGTGAGCGGGCGTGGTTGTGTTATCTGCATGATGTAGGTTGCTGATGAGTCTTCCACCCATCCTGTGTTGAACTATAGCATTACTGTCACATGCAAGCAAAATGTTGCTGAATATTATTTCCAAAATGGGTAGAACAGTTAAACTTACTTTGTTATTGTTGTTGATTGCCTTCGAGTTGAGCACAACTCATAGTGACCCTATGAAGGAAAGGCCTGAAGCCCCTCTACAACTATCGACATTTATCAAAGTTCATAGAGTTTCTGGAGGCAAGTTGCTTAGGAAGTGGATGCCACTCCTGCTTCCAAAAAACTTACTATACTTACCTGTAAATGCCTTTTAGTTTGGTGCCATGGTCTTTAATCATGAAGATGCCTTAATAAAAATACAGGGGTTCCACGCCAAGGACACTGAATGTGATATGCAAGTTTTCTCTTTTACAGAGAGATCAGCCCTGCTTGGTAAAACTCACAGTGAACTCGGCTTAATTCACTTCCTGTGGCTTCGGAGGAGGAGGGTGGGAGGGCAAAATTCTGTGTTTCCACCGTCACTGACTCAGCTCTGCAATTCATCCCATAATGACTAGCAGAATTTCCTATTATGGCATGTGCTTATATACAAGTTGATTTCCAATTCATAGAAACGTCTCATGCCAGAGCATAGTGGCTCTTCAAGACTTCCCAAGCTTTAGCTTCTGAAAGTGTCCATTGGCAGGACTTCCTCCTGTGGGGCAGCTAGAGGGATAAAGCTGCCCACCCTTCTGTTAGAAGCTGAGCCTCTCTATCAAACGCATCATTCACATAAAATTCATTTCAGCCTGATGAGACACCCAGAAACTCCAGAAGAATCAGATGGAAGATGTTAGTTACAGCCACACCAGGAGTCCCTGGGTGACGCAAATGGTCAAACACTCACCTACCAACCAAAAGGTTGTTAGTTCGAATGTTGCACATGGAGGGTAAAGTATTTTTATAGTTATTGCTAATGAGACAGCCAGCCAGGAATGAGATAGAGCAGAGAGCATAAAAAGAGGGAGCCATCCACCAGATGCTCTGCCGGGGAAGGAGGGACAATCTCCTCCTGTACCAGTCAGATCTGATTTGACGGTACACTCACACAAAAAATCATAAAATAAAATAAAAAGAGGGAGCCAGCAGTTCTCACGGAAGCCCTGCATCTTTATTGAAAATTATGAGGAAGTCAATCACAAAGAGAATTCAATGCAAATGAAGCCAAGCTCTTTCTATTGAAAACCTTCCCCTTGACTCTGGAGGGACGGGTCAGCAAATACAATGCATGAGTCCAGTAAACTCCTGAGAATTGCCTTAGTGCCTCAGGGGCAACTCCGGCTTGAACCTGAAATAGCATTCGGTTTATTACAAATACTTCGAGTTGGCTTCCCATATTGGAACACACTCAGAGGCGCCTTAAAAGATGGGCTTGGTGATCTACACCCCAAGATGCAATGGGGAAAAGGAGGACACCAGCACCAGAGATAAGGCAAACACCGTGACTCTCAGGTAACAACAATTTCACATAACGACCTGCTCTTTGGAACTTGACCCTGTCGGTGCGGATTGGGTGTATTTCTAGAAGAAACGTGATGTTCAGGGTACAGATGCTGGGGTTAAGAGTTCAATGTATCTTTTGGGGTTGACACAACTCAATCCATGACAAAATTGTGTCCACAAGCTCATCTTCCCCTTTCTTCTCACATCGGTGAGAGGGGGTAGGCAGTGGAGAGAGGGAGTGAGGGTCTCGTCCATTTTCTGCTGATCTTCTACTTTGCTGTTGATGTTGTTTTGAGCCTTGAAGTTGCAACTGATGTTGTTGTTATGTGCCATTGAGTCACTTGTGACTCATAGCAACCCTATGTACAAAAGCCCTAAATGCTGCTCTATCCTGTGCCAACCTCACCGTCTCCGACACACTCATTCCCATCACCCCAATCACAGAATCAATCCATCTCGTCAAGGGTCTTCCTCTCCTGCACCATCCCTCCACTCTCCCAAATATGATGTCCCTCTCCAAGGACCGGTCCCTCCTTGCAACATGCCCAAAGTATGTCAGATGAAGCTTCAGAATCCTTGCCTCGAAGGAGCATTGTGGCTTCACCCTCACCAGGACAAACCTGTTTGTTCTCCTAGCAGTCCATGGTATATTCAATATTCTTCTCCAGCACCACAGCTCAAAGGCATCAATTCTCTTTCATCTCTAGTCACTGTCCAGCTCTCTAATGCATAGCACCTGGATCAGGTGCACCTTAGTCTCCAGCCTGATGTTGTTGCTCTTCAGTGCTCTTGAGAGGTGCCTCACAGCAGACTTCCCCAATGCAATTCGTCTCTTGATTTCCTGGTTGCTGTTACCAAGAGGGTTGACTGTGGAGCTGAGTAAACTAAAACCTGTTATCAACTTCATATATTTGACAGAATGAAATGTCATCTGCTCTTGTGCAACTCTCGCGATAGTTGCTATGTTTAAGGTCACTGTTTGGACCACTCTGTCAATTTGTCCTTAAGGGCATCCCTCGTTCCCTCTGGTTCTCTGCTTTGCCAAGCATGGTGTCCTTCTCCAGTGATCGGTCTCTTCTGATGTCCTAAGTAAGTAAGACAAAGGCTTTTCTTCTGCAGAGCATTCTGACTGAACTCCCTCCAAGACAGCTCTCCTCATCCTAGCTGGTGTCCACTCTTCCTCGTCAACACAATTTTTTTT